CGTCGAGGAAGTCAGCCCTGAAGTGTCTCCGGCTTCGCTGATTTAGCCCGCCGTCCTCTCGAAAGTAGGAGGGAAGAGGGCCAGAAGTGGTAGGAGTTTAATATCGCTATCGATTAGACGGCTGATTGGAGTGTGATCTCGGAGCTCGGCTTCTACGAGATACGGGTACGGAGAGGATGCAGGAGAAGTCAAAACGTGCAGTCGCACGGTCGTGCCTCCGCCCGCCTCATTGACACCGAGTATGAAAATTTCCGCGAATTCCCGCGTTGTTTACATCCTTGAGGAAATTCGCAGAGAATAGGAGAGTCTGAAGGCATCGGAGAGATTTGATCGCCTCACCGACCTTTGCGCTCGGCGAGAATATTCCGTCCTCCCCGCACAGCTTCGAGTACACCAAACTTCGGCCGCCGAGGGATCGCACGGATGAAAGGTCTTCGCTACTGAAGAGTCCTAAATTGAAGCCGCCCACGGAAAAGGTGATTTGGCTTCCGAGATTCTCTTGCTAAACTCTTCGCTCAAGTGTCATAGATTCTTTCCGAGGAATCTCCGGAGAAGAAACGGCCCAAGTATCACCGGACTATTATTCCAACCGATTCACTGCCAGTTCAGAAAACCTATCCTTATGGGAGAACGGCGACGACTGGCTGCACGAACATTCGCGGATAGGAGTCGACAGGGAGGAAGAACTATGGGCGCGTAACAAAGAACTCGGCGCAACCATGCCACAAGGCTCGGTTATCTTCATTAGCAATATCAGGCCATATGTTTTCGGACTCCAAGGCAGAGCTCGGACGGTTCCGCTGGCGCGGCAGAAGGGAATTTCTCCCCCACAGAATGAATCTGTTGCTCTCTCAGCAATTCGCAGCCGCATTCAAACACACGCGTCTCACACGAGGGAATCGAGATCGAGACGGAGGCTTTTTCCTGCTCCCGCTCATGGAAAATTGAAGACAACAAAGCCGATACTGCACTCCAGCGCAGCGGTCGGAGGTGATTATCGAGAGGAGCAATATTGAATACATCGGAAGAGCACGCCCACTCCGTCTGTTCTTTGGCCATATCGTCATGGCGTCAGTTGGTTCCCCCAGGACGAGGTGTCAGAGTTACCGTCCAGCTGCCCAAGGCTTGTCCGCCTCTCTTTCGGCTGCAAGTGATCCTGCTGCCGGATTCCCTCCGTGTGCGATCTCCCGTTTCAAGGGCTGACGTGCCACTCGCGGCAGCCGCCGGCCGAAGCGCCTGCCGGTCAGCTTCCGTATCGCTTGCAACAGAAGCAAAGAGGAAGACAGATCCCCACCCTGGGGATTCGAATATCACGAATGGTCGTCCTTATCTTTATCGGCATCATCATAGCGGGGCACCGAAAGGATATTAGTTGCATCGGGTCGGCTGTCTAAAGTGGGAGTCACGTTACGATTTTCGTGTCGAGCGTGTCTATCTCTCTTTCCAGGGAAATTTCGAGGATTCGACTGCCATGGAGGGGGAAAAAGTTCCCCAGTGAACCCCTCTCATTCGTTGATGCCCCGGAGTCTAAATCTGCGTCTCAAATGACGAATCGACGAACAAAAGACCAGCAGTTCGCGGAAAGCATGCGACTACCAAAACAAAGTAAACGGGGTCGGCCGGCGAGCTAGACCATGCTGACCATCCATGGGGAGCATCGTATGCGCGCTGCCCGGATTGGCTGAAAACAATGGAAGGCTCTGAACAAAAAGCAGTTGAGGGCAAACGGTTCGCTTCCACATGGCCTCACAAGTTTACGAGAACCGTCACAAGTAGCAGCGAATATAGAGGGACCGAGAAAGGGGAAATAAAGGAGAAGCAGAAGGAAAGGCGGATGCGACGGGGAACGCAGAAGAAAGGAATGGCCGAGCTGGTCCAATACAGACGAGCAACGCCGCGCCGTCGTCCTCCTGGGAGAAGCCAGTGTCACAATTATCGGGACTTTTTCCCGCTTACAACTGTCACCGCGAAGAGACGATTGAGCGGATGAGCAACGACCGAAACTTTGTGGAAAATGTTCTGTGTGACTCCACTCCGAGCTTCTCCGAGCAGAACCCGCCGTTTTCCGAATGGAACTCTCTGTCTCTCCCCGAGCACACATATAACCCTGACCCGAACCGAAGTTCTTCATTTAATCCTTCATATGGCCTATTTCCTCGAGGGAACATCATGTCGAGCTGTCGGTCGCCAATAATCTGAATGGAAAGGCAGTCCACATTCTGCGAAAACTGAATCTCATCAATGGAGGATTCCGACAGGAATGAACAAGCAGAGAGAAATGAGGCTCCACAGGAATTCGAGATCCCGGTTACGGATCCAAGAAGCCACGGACACTGAACTTGGAGGAGTATTGAGACTGTTCCATGATAGCCAGTGAGGCTCGAAAGGGGTTAGAATTCAATTTCGGCCCGTTCGGAGATAATGATCGTCGAACCGGTGCGGAAGTGTCGAGAAAATCCTATCAGCGGCTGGCCAAGAGAAAAATTACGAATCGGCTTTTGAACTCGAACGTCATCGACAATCGGAAAAGCGTCCATGAGTACTCTTCCATCCTGATCGAGATCGTTCATTCGCGTTGCCGTCCTACGCCGCGAAAAAATTCCTCCTCCGTCGCGTCGGTAGATTGAGCGCTCCGACGAGGACTTATTGCAAAAAGTTCGCATATCACTTATAAGGATTCCTGTCTCCAGCAGCGTTCTCCCACCACCGCCCAGCGGAATAGGAGGGAAAGAACTGCGCAATAGTGAGCTGAAGAGAATTATTACACGGCCTGGACCGAAGAGGAGAGAAAGTGGAGCCGATGGAACAGCTTATGGGGACCGAGCTCGTTGACCCCTGCGATCAGACCAATAAATTACGACACGTTTTATCGAGTCGAATCCAACCCTCGAGATGCTTCTCCCGAGAGTGGGATCGACTTGACGCGTCTCCGACTGCTACAGGACTCATCCGAAGATCACGTAACTATTTTCTTCAGAGCTGTCCTCTTCCAGCTCTATCTCCCGCCTCCCTCCTCCGACTTCACCGCGGTTTCGGTTCTCCTCTATTCGCCACACTTCACCATCGTACAGGGATTCACAAAGTTATCTCAGAAATTCTGCAAAATCGGTATTTCCTTCCGGAGTCTGAAACGAGACCCGGAGCGCAAAGCCTCGCTCCGAAAATATTTTGACCGCTTCAACGCTCCAGGTGTAGTCCGCCCGCGCCCATCGGGTATTGTTGCTCTCGAATCATGGTCCTCCAGTGAGCGATCGGAGATCGTATTTCCAGACGTCAACAACCTGCTCCACGATACTGTATCGATCGCATCTAATTTCCCCATTTCGTTCAGCCGAGCAACTGACAGGAACACACGCGCTCACTCTTCCCTCACGACGTCGATAACAGAGGCGAAGACAGACTGCGGCACCGAGGTGGGGAGCTTCCTAATAGGCGAAAGGAGCTGCCACCGTGCCCTCGACAAGTCGACCGAAAGGCAGCTTCAGCCCCTATGGAGCGGCAGCACGCGGGCTTTGGCTCGCTTACCGCGCACCGTGATGCCGATTTCTCCCGTATTAATCCCTCCGATGGGAGAAAGTCCTGCGCAGACACTTAGCATTGGTGGGCAGCCACTCCGAGCAAGCATCGTGAAGAGGTAATAGACCTGCTCCCTTCCTTGTTTGAGTCCGAGCCTCAAGGCGGCATTCGGATGCGGGAAGTTCGACGCGTGGGGATTCGTGGAGGAAACTGGGAGATTGGAACTACCTCCTCTAATACAGTGGGAGATCAACAGAATCACTCTCCGGAAGTTTCGCGCAAAATAGAGCGGATGGAACCGTTGCGTGGAAACCCAGTTCTCACGAGGAGCTCGGGGCTGATAGGCGAGAGGAGCACGAGAAGAGGAAGAAGTCTTTATGACTCGGCATATCCTCATCCTTTCCTCTATGTTGTACGGACTCCTGACGAGACGTCTCAGCGCAGTCTTCCGCAACGAGATCGAATATTCGTGACTTCATACCTCAGAGCGACTCCTCCTTGACCGTGAATTCCCTTGCGATCGCAAAACCCGATCCCTCCTCTCTCGCGTTAAGGTCGAAATCGGAAATACGGGACAATTGCGAGAGCATTCCGGGCTCCGCTTCGGGATCGCGCTCCCCGGTTCGGAGCATCATCCCTCTCAGGAGACGGGACCCAGCTGATTCGAGTGACTCGCGGACGGTACCTCTATGGGAGACCCTTTCATCGTAGACGAACACTACAATATATATATCGATAACACAGTGATAATTGATGATAAGCTCTCTGGGGCAAATTTATCGTACAAATATCGCAAGGATGCTTATTCCGTCCCCCTTCGACTCCTGCGTGCTCCGCTGATTCGCGAAACGTCGGGCCCGAATATAGGTACTTCCGTCGATTCGGCGGCGTTACCGACTACCCGGAGCCCTGAGCCACGGACCCCGAAGGATTGGCTACTCTGGTGACGAGGGATGATACGACGATGCAGCATGCAGCCTAATAGCAGTTCCGATTCCTCCCGAATCGTCTCCGAACCACTCCCGGAGTCACGAGCCCGCGCAACAGCCACATCGAAGAGCTTTCGTGTTGGGAAATTGATATCGAAAACACATCCGATACCCATCCCGATGCAACTGTCTTCGCGTATCCTGAGCATTGGGACTGTCGCCCCCGAAGGGGGATATTAATCATGTACTACTCATCATATTATCGACTGGCAGCTTTTCTCTCTTGTAAAAATTCCAAGTTTTCCTTCCGCGAGGTTTTTCATCTGCTCGCGCAAGCCCGTACGTGGAGATATCACGACGCGACGTCGCGACGGGAGCTCACGGTCTATTCTTCAATGAAGTCGAGTCGTCATGGACTACATACCACAACGCGTCCAGGTATCGCTGTCGCGGTTTCGTACCGACGGAATGTCGTCGATGAATTCAAAAATTGGCGCGCCGAGTTTTTGTTTTCCCGCCAAGCTTCTATGCCCGCACTCCGATCGGCGCCATCTTGTGTTGTCGCTTGTGTGCAAAATAACAAGCGGTAAGCAGCAGCAGCATTGTGGAGGAGCATCGAAATAGAGTGAAACCCAAATCGCAGAGTCCACGTTGATGTTTCTCCGCTGGTCGCAGTGAGAATCGATTTTAGAAAAGGTACGAATAGATCCCGTTGCCAGTTCCGAGTCTCTGTCCGGAGATGAATCACCGAGCAGCAGAACCGACCGCTGGTTTGGCCCGCTCGCTCGCTGGCCAGCGGTGGCTGATGGCCTGCTCGGCGAGATTATTAGCTATCTCATTCGCGTGCCTAATATGACGCCAACTCACTGTTCCTGAAGCACCGACAACTTCTGACATCGGTTCATGTCACCAGAATCGTTTCGGTATTGCGCAGAATTGTTTCGCACGCCCCGTAGAGTTACGCGTCAATAGACCTTCCGTGAAACGGCGATTCGACGGACTCTCGAGCGAAGAACGCGCGTTCCTGCTCTCGGAGCGTTCGTGGAGCGATCGTCCCGTGCCGTTAGCTGCTCGCCCTCACGTCGCGGGGGTCCGGGGGACAGATGCTCCTAAGCGACTCAGAATCGCTGTCGCCCCTCGAATCGATCCACCACCGCCGCTGCCGCCGCTGCAACCACCGACGAGTTGGCCGCTGTCGTTTACCAACAAGTACTAAGTGAGTACTTCAGGAAATGTTCGCGGAGCGTTGCCACGCGGCGGATGTTCTATGCTCCGCGTCGAATGCAACCTCGTTCGACCACCTCATCCACCAGCAGCGGCGGCAGCGCGACCAACCCGGGCGGCAATTGCGTCAGTTCCAGTACCTGTATCGCGGTTCACCTCTGGCACCAGTCTCGTACTATCAGTATTCATCTCGTCGTCATGAAGACACCGCTTCTATCGTTATGTCAACGCAGAGTTTCGCGGACGGAGAATTTTCTGATTCGATTTGTGACACTCGGGTGATTCCGACGTTGCGACTAACGTGAATCCGCCGTTTGGCGTGATTCGCGAAATCGTCCACGCGCATCCCAATCATGGAAGGGGGGGTGGCAGTCTTCCCGTCGAGCCTGAGATCCTGGGGACAAGTTTGCCAGTAAATGGGCTCTCTGATAGCGGCACTCGAGTGCACGCGATGGCAGCTCCGAATCGGAGCGTTCCCAATCATTCGCCCGCCGCACGATCGGGACAAAACTCAGATACGGTAGTGCTGAAAACGATCATGATAGTTCGTACGGTAGGATGCCGTATTCTCGATTCGCATTCGTATTCCGCATTCGTATTCGATTTTGTTGACAGCGCTTGTTGAAGTTGTCCCTTGCGTCAGTGGACGCTGTGACGTTTTCTGGCTTGTTGCATGTCACTTCTATCAGCTGATGATCTGCTCATCACTGGAGCTAAGTCGCCGGAATCTGTTCATGTCAACCCGCGGATCGATCTTGAACTACTTCCCCGAGTGAATCGATGTGTCAACCTGGTGGAACTAATCTCCTGATCCTGCGTCTAATCCAGACCGGTCTCTTCCTCGAGCTGAACACATAACCAAATCGTCGCTGTCGATGGTAATCTCCGAGTGCCATCTGATCCGAAAAGTCACAACGCTGATTTTTCTGTCGCTGATAATGATAATAATCATGACGCATTGTGGTACAAGTCCCGCGACTTGATGATATGCTTGCCTGACGAACAAATTGATTAGATCAATTCGAAGACAACATTTCTAGACATCGATGATCGAACTGGAAACGACAAACGATAAGACCGAAATGTGTAGCCCGGTCTGTGTTTTCTGGCTCCCCTCTAGCACATCCGGGTTCTCTCGATCAAGGTATTACTTTTCCCGCCCGCGGAACTCTCTGGTGGCCGAGGGTTCCGCGGAATAGCGCGAAAGGCCGCAATGCTTCTATCGAGATGCGGTCTGGTCTGGCACCCTGGATCATTCACTTGATCATCGTCCAAACCCTCTACGTACCCTCGATGGACTATCGGAGAGTACCCGGTGACATTTCCCAGGGAATCGACGCGGCGGAATTTTCGGCTCTGTGGACCTCTTGGAGAACGAACTAACCCGAATCCGTTCCCTTGCAGAGTAACACTAAGCTGGAATAAGGTCAACGGTCGTCTATTACAATGGGAGCATTCCTCGAGAAACCGAAAGTTGAAAAGCACTCCGAGTCGGGAGTCACCCCGTCAGGGATAAAGTACGCGTTGAGTTCAATGCAAGGATGGCGCGTGGAAATGGAGGATGCGCACACGGCCCTTCTGACTGTTGAGGGCTTCCCCTCGTGGAGCTTTTTCGGTGTTTACGATGGCCACGCCGGAAGCGGAGTCAGCGCGCGTTGCTCCACCAGCCTGCTCCCCGCTATCTTAGAACAAATTGCCCCCATCCAAGGTTTGTGTTGATAATGGAACTCCATTGAGACTTCAGTCCGCATCTCCGAGGATCGGCGTTCGCCCTCCATCGGACGCTGGACGACGAAAATGCTCTGAATCTTGGTGAGATGTGCGCTAACCTCCGTTAACGCTTGTCTACCCCATGCAGAAATCTCTGAAGACTTCTCAGAAACGGGTCCGATCTCGAACGCCATACGCAGCGGGTTCCTTCAATTGGACGAGGCCATGAGACAGCTCCCGGAAATTCAGACCGGACAGGATCGTTCCGGTGAGTAAACCGTCTCTTCCGTCGCTATGGGAGCGCTGCGGAAATCGAGAATCATATCGAGGGAATCCCGAAAGTGGGAATCGATTTCTGACACGGATCCATTCTGATTTCAGGGTCCACGGCTATCTGCTGTTTAGTTACGAAAAAGCACCTTTTCTTCGCCAACTGTGGAGATTCTCGGGCGGTTTTATCGCGTGGAGGGAAAGTCGCCTTGAGCACATATGATCACAAACCGATTAACCCGGCGGAGAAGGAAAGAATTCAGAAAGCTGGAGGTTCTGTTATGATTCAACGAGTAAGTGCTTCCACCGTTGTTCGGGCAAGCTCTCGATTACTCATCAGCCAGACTAGTACATGCGCTTTCCGCGGGCTTTGTCCTCGACATGCTCCGTGTGTATCGTACTGCTACGCTACGAGCTTCCGTACCCGACGCAAGCGGTCCAGTCCCCGTTTCCGGAAGCACAGAAATCGCTATCACCTCCGAGGTGTGGCAATTCAGAGTTGCTCTGTGACGGGCGTGATAATGGCCATCGTTGTACTGACGATAATCGCGGCGAATGAAGCAAAGCCAAAAAAAGAAGAGCGGCCCGGTCTTTCGACGCCGATCGCGCCCTTCTCAGCGGAACATTTCAAGGCCATTGTCATTACTAGTATGACTCATCTCCGAAGAGTCTCCTCACTTCTCAGCCGGGCTTCTCAATGACGTGTCTCTAGATCAGGGCGTCTACGACGAATCCCACATTGATCCGATGCCATCCTCATCATCATCATCGGGCTTCTGAATCATTCGATGGGATTTCAGAGGGTCCCTCTTTCCGAGATCGGATATTCCTGTGCTCGGTGACTTTCGTCAATGATTCGGCTGCAGTTTCCGAATATCGATCCTTCTTTTAGGTGAATGGCAGCTTGGCCGTCTCTCGTGCGCTCGGAGATTACGAATACAAACAAAATAGCGGCAGGGGTCAGTGCGAACAACTCGTCAGTCCAGAGCCAGAGATTACAGCGCTAGAAATATCCGAAGATGACGAATTCGCAGTGCTCGCTTGTGACGGCGTTTGGGATGTCATGACAAGCGAAGAGGTGTGTAGATTTCCATTCACTCGGCTGCTATATTGGATTCCCATTGAAGTCCTTTCTGTTCGGTCAATATATATTCATTCGTTTCGTTTCCGTCCAAAAAGGTATGTGATTTCGTACGACATGAGCTCCGTACGAATCCGGATCTCGAATCGATCTGCTCGCATCTGGTCGACGTCTGTCTCTACAAAGGCAGCCGCGATAACATGAGCGTAGTACTCATCGTTTTCTCGGGAGGTCCTACTGTCGACGAAAAATCCGTTCAGGTAGGAAGAGACCCCGGAGATACTCGTCCAGCAATTGGACTATCATGGTCATTGATGAGCATTTGGAACACCGATAAGCTAAGCATGGGAAACCGATGATTTTTTTCTCATCCTGAAACGTTTTCCTCAACCTCCAGGAGCGGAAAGCCGTCGACGACTACATCAGGACGAAAGTGAAAGAGGTATTCGCTCTCGGAACAACGGAGTTGAGCGAAATGCTGATCACATTGGCCGAGGACTCGTTCGTGATGGGTTCACTTCCGAGCGGAGTCGGCATCCACGCGAAACGATCGCTTGTCGAGGCGGAGTTGAAGCTCCTCAATCCGAACAACACCGAAAACAACTGTTGAGTTTCCATCGGGAGGGTTTTCCGCAAGCGTTGGCGACAAAGCGATCGGGCTTCTAAAAGTGGGCGATAGGGAGAGATAGATTTCGATATATATTTAATCGTATATATCTATTATATGTATGGAGGCAGCACAGAGAACGCTTGGCAACGGAGGTCGCAGAATGGGAAGAGGCGCGGGAAACGCTAGAGCCAGCAGTCGGGCGAGCGAACGAGCGAGAGACTAAGATTGGAGGGTGACAAAAGAGCGAGGAGACCCTCGGACGCGTATATGGGAAAACCTGCTGTAGTGGATTACATACTATAAAAATGTAACGACAATTGAAGGAATTTCGAAGGAAAGGGTCTGATTAGGGAGAGAAGAACGAAGCTTTCGTTGAAATAGAATCAGTGTTGGGAACTTCCTCGCAGACAACGTTCACGGAGTGAACAGAAGTCGAACCGACGAACCTTAATGTTCATGCACAAGTCGCTGGTGGACGGAAACCACGGGAAATTGAGCTGTTGTCTGATACGAACCGGCTTACCGGAAGCAAACAAACGAAGAAACAAACAAACAAACAAACAAACAAACAAACGAATAACGAAGAGACAAACCGAACGATGATTCGGATTTTGCAACAAATGCAAAAGCATACGGCATCGAGCCGTCGCGACGCTGCTGCCCCGCTATTGACTCCTCCGCAGACTCCTGGCGCGTCGTCGCAATCGGAGATCGATAGATTGAAAAGTTCGACTTGAACGATAGAACGGACGGATTGACGGAGCAGCGATGGAAACATTCAGAGTTCTGTTTGTATTTGGGGGGGTTTCGAACTCTGGTTCGGGGAAACCGGCAGAAGTCCGGAGCGCACTTCCACGCGGGGGAAGGAGGATTCGCTTCGAGGCTTGCGTGTTGGACCCGCAGCAACCGCAGTCTTTTCCTACGCTGATGCTTCACGGACGTCCCTAAGAACCTGCCGTGAACTCTGAGTTTATGAGAAGTGCTTCGACGATTGGTACCGCGCTCATGGGTGCTGATGGTACATCATGTAAAACAAGCCGCGACGGGAAAATGTATGTTGTTCGTTGTCACATTCTCCTACATACATAATAGATGCAGACACCCATCCGGATCGCACTGTTCTCATTCATGAACAATTAATAGACGAACGAACACGACACAAGGACAGACAAACATACAGCAAACGTTCATTGGGTCATTTATCAACTTCATGGCAAGAATCGCCAATTCACCCCCATCGTCGGTGTCCCATCATGGATCGATGGATTTCGCTTACTATTTATCGAAACCGATTGTATGTCTTGCAAACCAGGCGGCAAATGTTTTTCGATTTTCTTCGAAAATGTTCTTTATTATTTTTCCCATGTATCATTGGAAAGAATGAGCGTCCGGTGGGGGCGTCGGGGAGACCCCGGATTCGATCCTTCGAAAAGCCCGCTGGAAACTTCCGGATAGAGGCCGCGGAATTCCCGGCTGACGACGAGGTTTCCGGCTGAGGATCCCATTGGCACAGAGGGCACCTCGAAGCAGATCATGAATCCGACTCTTTCCGTGGCTCTTAACCCATCGAGGGACTCTGAACAAACTTCTGATGTTGATTCGAAGACCAAGGCGACGTAGAACTTTCTAGGGCGTCCCGGATAGTATTCGGAAGAGACACCTCTTCGTCTACAACCTGAGCGCCCACGATCAATTGGAGTGGAAGCAAGAGTCCGCGTCTCTGTAGAACCTCGTTCGTGTCTGAGAGCAACGTTGGGAACACACACAAACACACACACATAGGAATGAATGCGTCGACGCTTCATTTCGACAACCGTGTTTTGGGCACACTCGGTGATTGATGAAGCCGCCCTTCTCACGACGGAGGAAAGGAATGAAGCCAAATTCATTCATAGATCACCCGGTCGCCAGATTATGCGGACGATAGACAAAGATTGCGATTAAGGCGACCGCGATGCTAAACGGGAGCGGGATGGAGGTGATGAAGTGTGCGGACGTCAGTCATGTTGTTGAACCACTCCGGTCACTTCTGACCGGGCACGCAAGTCGAAAACCTACAGCAGCAAACCTCGAAATAATGATGTAAATATTACTGTAAATAAATTTCATGTTACCTATTCTAAAAATTGTCGTATATCATTAATGCGCGAAGAGTCATTTCGAGCAGCAATCTGCTTACAATACATAGTAGCATTTTCGACTCGGCGCCGTTCCAGCGCTATATGGCGTTGCGGGCCGGACTCTTCGAAGCTGGAAGAGGTTCGACAAATATAGCTGAGTGCGCGGGACGCGCGGTTCCTCCAGCTTTTCCACCGGGTCGAGGTAGTTTTCCCGAAAAAATCTTGGTTTCTTCTCCCCGCTCTCACGTAATCAGCCAGAGGAGGATGTTTCTCCTATTTCTCCTCCCCTGTCGTTTTGTGCAGCAAATGTGATGTTTACGAAATCCACGCAGCTGAGCATGATGAGCATGATGAGTCAGATAATCGTGAATGACTCCATATGACGCACGGGATCGCACAAGGGAGCCCACAGGGTGAATCATCGCACGGAGGTCTCCGGAGACTATATTGCGCGCGATCGCTCCGAACGCTGCTCCATATGGGATCGGTGGTCCAACGTCGAGGGAGCGTGCATACACGGTGGGCCATTCGTGAATGACAATGAAGAATACAATATTTGGTTATCAGCCGAGGGAACATTCATTAAGATTCGATCATCTCCCACAATAGAAGTGGCATTGCTGGGGCAAGTCTCGGAGGACAACGCCCAGGGCAAGAATTGAAAACGGTGATCCTCCGCAAGAACTCCATCAACGAGTTGCAGCCGTCAGATACGATAACAATGCGGGGAATCAAGTTCTTCCAGAACCAGCCGCACCTCCAAGATCCTCAGCCGCATCGAAGGCGAACCCACCGCGACCTGTAGAGCACCAGGCCTTTTTATCGATGGAGCCGTTCGGGCCCCTGTTCTTCCAGTTCGCTATTTCAAAGCTTCGATTGAACTACATCGATTGAGGAATGCGCGACCCGCTCCCGTACCCCCGGCTTCCGCGTCTCCCATAATTGACCCGATTGGCAGCAGCAGGCTTTCAATTCTGAGTGAGCTTTCAGAGGTCCCCTAGTCTGGCAGCGAGCCCTAGTCGCGGACCCGTCTGTGATGTGGAAGCGAATGAACGAGCCAAATGAAGCGGCGGAGCGAATGATTCTCCCGTTCGGAGCGTTCGCTCGTCCGCCACCATCCGTTCGGGAGTCCTATCGGAGGAGATTTTCCACTTTGGGCAGCTCGAAGACGGAACATTCCTGTAGTTTTAGAGGGATCGGCTACGATCGCCGGGAGATCGCGTGCCATATGGGGAAAGTCCCGGCAGCCTCGAGCTGTTGCTGGAGTTTCTAGCTATGAGGATTTCCTCGGTGATGTTCCGGTTACTCGCGACTAGAAAGCATCGACTGATCCGTGATGTTCCTCTTGTACTCATCGCTGCTTTGGGGGTAGGGGGCTGGCAGAACACTCTCGGAAGAGCTGTCCAGATGAAGCAGTTTTCTAGACGCTCACTCAGTATCGGCCGAGTCCCGGAACGAATGGCCCGGACTTCGCTTAACGGTCCCGCATAGATCATCAGCATCATTCCCTGCTCGTCTCTCCCGTTGGCTGATTTCCTTCCCCCGAGCAATCCCCAATTCGAATATGCAGACCCGCATTGGTGGGACGTACTGGGGATTGTGCGGTGATTTGTCCGAGCGCGAAACCTTGACAGTCGGGCTCTCCGTGCAGGGAAGAATAGAAGACCTTTTGTATCTCAGACGACTCATTGGGCGAACCGATGTTTTGGGAATGTAGCAGCTGATCTTGACACGTTGTTCGCCACCGCAAGAGAGAAACAGTCAACTACCATGGACTGCGTGCCGCGACGGCATGTTTTCCGAATGAAGCCGCTCGCCGGAACATCCTCGTCGGAGTTCTCTTTTATGGAGCTTGACTGGTTCCGATTCATTTCACCCATGCGTACATGAAGGATCAACTCTTCCGGTAAGCCGACCGCTCTCGCTCCGAGTGCGCTCCGGACATATCGCGCACACAGGTGACGTGCGCTCATCGGAGCTGTGATCCCGGAAAAGATGTTTGGGTCGAGGTTCGTTCGTCGAATTTTTCTGTTCCGGTACGGTCGCGAGTTTTTCCCGCGAGAAAATGACGTGTAAAAATATTTCCCTTGCAGATGGGACCTCCTCTGTCTTTGCATCTGTCACTGTTCCTTGTCTGCCCGATATTAGCCACGTTGGTCAACATCGCAATCGATAGCCTGATATCCTCCCTCGATGAGTCCCTCGCTCGGGCCCTTGCCGATTCTACGGCCCACTCGATCACCGGTTCTTCACTGATATTGGGCATTTTCGGCTTCCAATGGTCATTGCTGCTGCTGAGCTACGTCTTCTCGGCTCTGATCGACGTTGACCATTTCGTTTGCGCCGGCTCCGTGTCTCTGAGTGCAGCGACCCACCTCAATGGAAGACCTTTTCTTCACGACACTCTCACAGCCATTGTCTTTTGCATACTCCTGGCCTTGTTGCGTGGACTCTATTCGAGGAGCAGTGAGCGTAATTCAGAGCGAATCGTCTACAAGATCAATGAGCCGTCCGCATCGGTCAGAAAGATTGCCTATAAGTCGTTCGTCGTCACGATCTCAGTGTCCCTCCTGGCTCACCATACGCGCGATGCTCTCCGAAGAGGTTTCTGGTTCCGGGGCCTGTTTTCCAGCAGAGCCATATCCTACTGCGAGATGAACGCAATTTTCACTTTCTTGGTGGTTTTCGGGAAGCTGTTCATCTCGATAGGATCAGCCAGCCCTTTCTCGCTGCGGGATCTTCGAGCGCGTAGCACCGTATCCGTCGTATAAGCCGGCCGCAGATTTCCCTCCGAAAATGTCCCACGCTACAGGAACCTTGATTCCTATGCCTCCTTTTGTTTCGTGTTGTAGGTATTCTGCTCGGTTCCGCAGCTTGATATACATAGTTGTGGAGAGAATGCGAAGCTCGGGAAAGTTCTCAGAAAATCCCCGAAATCAGTGAGCTTGTAAGGCAAACTTTTCCGGGCCCTTCCCCTTGCGCAGCGCCTTCTCGAAATCACGAAAGTCCCTGCGGGTTGTGAGTGGCGAGGCAACTTAAGTACAGCTTCAGAATCGGTTTTTCACATTGGGTTCCGAGCTTCGGATGTGCTGAAGATCTCAGAAGGATCTCACTCTGGTCCGCCGGCGACACCGCGGAGATATGGATTTCCAAGCTTCCGGACCTAGATACTGTTGTGTACCGCAAAAGTGGAAAGTCCGTCTTTCGTTCATTGAACCGATATGATCCGATTGCCCGGAATAGAGTTGTTGACTTCAATAAAATATCTAGTTTTGTGATCAGATGAGTCGGAAATGGTTGCTTGAGGCACATGGTGCACCTCACTTCGGTCCTCTGTACCCCTCGATTTCTCCACGGAGCGGCGCATGAAGTCGTTTTGCCAACCGGGGAGCGACAGCAGTCATTGTAGATCATACGTGCGGCAGCAGAGTATAGCGGTCCACCGATTCCCTGGGAATATTCGAAGACCAGCAGAGATCGCTAGGCTCTACATATAGATCGTCATTGAATGACTCAGATATCGAAAGCGGGGGGAACAAGGAGGGCAATCTCAGATCTTCCGGCCGAATCACTCGGCTAACAGACCCAGGTGATCGCTCATTCTCCCGAATTCATCTGCTCTCCAGGTTCTTCCACGCAGGATGAACCTCCTCGACGACGCCAAGCCCCCGGAGCCCGTTCAACCGAGGTACCGTAGATCTCGCTCCGGACAGGCGTACCTGTCCTTCCCAAAGCCCCTCCGTGAGTCGCCCGTCGATGAGAAGGCACCCAACTCGGAGGGAAGGATCCGTCAGGCTCGACGTCACCAATTCGATTGAGGCCGGAAGAGGCCCGTGGGGGCGGAAGAGGCTGTGACAATGCCCTTCCTCCCAGGGCTAATGCCGAAATACCTCTGTCTGGCCATGATCAAGATCATTCAGAAGGCCGGTGTCCCATAAGCGGATGAGGTGTAGCCTCGAATTCGAACACGAGCCGAAACATAGAGATAGACATTAGTTTCCGCAACCCGCCATTGCTCTTCCCTCCCCGATTGCTCCTCAGGGTTAACGGAATTGGAACGAAAATCAATTGCCTCGAATAGTAGGGGCGGCACTCACGCAGACTATTTGAAATGAAGAAGCAGGACATCTTATGCAGAGTTTCCACATTTGCTCTCATTTATTTCCTCTCCATCATCAGCATCACCGCTGTCGTCGTTAAAGTTATCACCATTATTATCATCATCACCATTATTCGAAGTTGTGAAATGATTTTCCTCTATCTGGTGAGCTGTAGAGTGTCGGCTGTGCCGGATCGACGGTCTGCTTTGGTTTGTTGTTGTTACCGATCTATATTCATATCCGTTCCGAATACAGAGCGCGATAGTTTCGTAAACCGTACCGTCTGACAATTCCACTCTCGAGGAATAACCCTTCACTCTCTGCCTCTCCACCTCTTATTCAAACAAAAGAAATGCGCAAACTCTCCTCCGACGCTGAAGGTCTCTCAGAAGAACTTCATCGATCCCGCGTCGGAGCCGACGTTTCGCAAACACCTCCGCAGTACAAAACGGTCATTATCATCATTCACATACGTCTTCTACCGACCAGGTCTGCTGGAAAGATGGCTGCAGAAGGCTTGCAGTCGCGGTGGATTTCGGTTCCAATAGTAATGACGACAATAATAATAATTGGTTGAGTCGTAGTGATAGAGACAGACAGGTAGACAGACAGGTAGGCGGCCAGTCAGACAGACAGACAGACAGCCTGCCAGACGGGTAGACAGACAGCAAAAAGTAGAATCATGTTGAAGTAGAGAAGATATATGTATTTCATTGTTGTTAGAAGACTCATAGTGATGACGCACTCGGATTTCTTCCTCGCTCTACCTAACAGGTTTACCGGAGGCGAGGCTCTCGCCCCCCTCAAAAAGGATTCCATTGCTGCGACGTTTCATCGGGTTCTTCTCGTTTTCGGCTTACTTTAATTCGTATTTACAACTCTCAAGCTGATGATTCCTCTCTATGATGATTCTCCCTCAAGGGGTTTCGTACGACTTTGGCACTCGTGGCAGCCGGATAGCGAAGGCGCCCGCGGTTTGACCCTGGCCGTAGGTCTAAAATTTCGGCTTCCTCGAAACCATCTCCTAAGGAGTTCGATTGAATTCAACTACGGTCAATTGATAATGAGCCACCCGGCAGAAGTTGGAAGGCCAAACAAAGCTCGCATTAGAACTCACGAAACGAAGTCCAAGCGCGACCCTTAGATGGATTGATGTCTATTCCGATGGGAAATACGCACTATACTGGGGAGAGATCTCTACAATGCTCCGACGCAGAGCTTCGATGCTGGCTTTAGAATTTTCTGGAACATTTCGGAATCGTTTTACGTCGCGCAGGAATCTTCGTCGCGTTCAGTGCCGGATCTGCCGCCATTTTTGTCGTCTGTGTAAATCCTAATGATATATCGTCTCGTCTAATAGGAGATATACTCGCTCGGTGAATTCAACGTCAACTCGCTGTGAGGTTTCGAATCGATCAATCGAGGGAAAGCCATGTACATCTTCGAGTGGAGCTTCCCGACGTTATTTTGAAAAACCTACCCTAGCATTCTTTCTCCTCATTATAATCGATTCATCAATAAACCAATAGATCGACTGCAATTCGATCGGACTGTTTCGCTTCTTCACTTCCATCCATGTACGCACACTTCAGCTCTCAGTTGATCTCACTCAATCGCACCATCGTTCTTCGAAGATGACAGTTCTGTATTTCTTGATTTTTCGTCTCTCAATACAATTAATTATGATAATAGCGATCCTTAATATAAGGGGTATCCGTAGTAAACCATTTGCTTCCTTGTTTTTCCACCATCATTTTTTCCATCGCGCATTTCGCTCGCAATCATTAGATAGTGTTTGGGTTCTATCCGGTGAGTCTTCATTTCTTAAAATCCGTTGTATCGTTCGTTACCTGTGATCACCAAGTCGTTTTGGCTTAATCTGACACACTGAGTCTGAATCTGTATTCGTCCTCTTCTGAAAAATCTCCTGAACCCTCGTACTCATATCTGACGGTCGGAGGGTGTCGTCGCAGAATCCGAGGCGACGATCGACAGAGGGAAATGTTTCGTGAAAATTAATGAAAATACATTCACTATATTACAAAAAGTCTTCGTTCCTTGAATTTTTGGTGAGACTGGAGCAAGCGCGTTGTCATCGACGGCGGACGAGACCGAGACGGATCAACGGCTTTCGAATATTCGGCACTTCTGTGAGGAACTCGTCACGAGATTCGGGGGATCTTGACAACCGGCAGTTCGAATCTGAGAGATCTCGACAAGCTGAGGAGATATTTCACGTCTGGCTCATATTCTGGCTTTGCTCCATTTACTGGTTTCCTCGCTTGCTTGCTCGTCTGTGGTCAGACGGGCGAGCACAGCCTCATCAATATCATTCGTGCCTGTTTTTTCTGTTTGCAACATGACTCATCCCAGACGAAGAATTATTCTTTTATACAGAAAAATGCTGAGGCCCGCTCAGCGCCCAGTGGTATTGGCGGCAGAGGTCTGACACACCTTGAACTTTCTGTCTGTATTGCACAGTTGAGGTGTTCGGATTGACCCGGAGGTAGTTCAGCGGGCATACTCTGAGCGAGCGATTCGCTCCGACACGTCTTTCGATCTCACCTACGTCGATACTGTACAACGTCGGATACAGCAGTCGAATTCCAGAAGTTATTTCCGTCTTATGCGGTCGTCGAAAGAGGTCCTCGAAGTCGCTCTTGTCGATTCTCGAGAGCGTACTCAACCTCACTGCTTGAACTGGTTAGGAGAGCGCGTCCGCACCGGGACCGATCGCTCCGGAATTCGTTCGAAATTCTTCATCGTCCTTCACTTGTTGTATCGCGATACCAAATAATTTGTCTTTGTTTCACTATAACTAATACCACACCACTACCGCTATGTTTACTCATCGTCATGAAATGTACAAATAGTTACACAATTTCCGTGGCGCGAGTGACGAAACTCCAGCGAAGCTTTTACAGGAAATACTTATAAACGAGCTCCAAAATAGCAAAAAAAAGAGAGCGGCTGGAGAGAGCGCGGAATGCAATACATTATCGACTGCGATCTATACATGACGCATTCAGGCGCTCCCCCTCGACGCTCAATAGGAACAAATTAGAATCATGGCAATCAACCAAGGTGCGAAAACTCAACCGAGCAACAACGTCTACGATCCGGGAGTCTGGGTGAGGATGTCCATTGAAGGGGGATCCCATAATTATTGGAAAAAACATCTCCATTCAGATTCGTTGTGAAATGAGTGATCGATACCAAGATTAAGACGGCATCGAGGTCTCGTCCAACATACGAGCATTTCGCGTCAGGAGGATTCAAACGGTGAATCTTGAACTCAGAGCATAAACGAAGTCAGCACCGGGGCACACTGGGTCCGTGAACAGAAACCGCGCCGTGCGACCGAGATGGTCGCCCGCAAACAGAGCCGATCGATCGAAATCAAAGGCGATTGTTGCTTGCTCGCTCTCCTGCTTAAACTCTGGTATTCATTGTTCTCGCTGCTTATGCTGACGAAGAATCTCTATTCTCCTATTGATGATGTTGGACGATGTTGTGCTGAAGCGGTTTGTCTGAAGATTTTTCTCGCTGCATCTGTTGCTGCTCAGCTGGTTGAGATCTTCACACATTAGCGGAATGCCAATGTGACCGTCATGCGTCCGTTTCGCCCCGCATCGTTTGAGCCACCATAGACAGTTTGTAGGCGAGTCTGTTCTTTTGAGCGAACTCATCTTCCTCGAGCGTTTGGATAAGCTGGGGAGAGATAATTTCAATAATTACTGAGCGTTCCTCATGCCTTCGTCTCCGAAAGGGGAGGGATGAATAAACCCGTAAAGTATAACAAATAAAAGTATGTAGTCGTCCGAGGCAAAAACTCATAGCGACTCGGTGATCCGAGGGCAAATATTATTATCCTCCTCAATTATTATCCCCCTCAGTGAGGATCGAAGCTTGATAAGGTCGAAAATTCCTCGGCGCTCCGAGAGCGACTTGAAATTAACGGTTTAGAGCCTATTCGGTTACCTGTTCCGTGTATCTAGCTGCGAACTTGTACAGCTCGTGAAGCGCGACGTTGGTGTTGAATTCGTGAGCGTGTTGTCGCGACTCTTCGGCGAGCATGGCGTTCATGTGTTCTTCGGATATCTGCGGCATCATCCGGATGTTGGCGTAGTAACGTTCTACGAGATCCTTGTAGTTCGGGATGTCCTTCGCGTAGAGTAATTTACTCGACGGTGAATCTTTGCCCAGACGATGATCTGACGTCGAGCACGCATCCATGAACGTTTGAGCGACTACGGAAAGGCAGGAATCTACGATGTTCGACTTGTTCGTGTCGAAGACGAAGTTTGGATTCTTAATGAGATTCACCCAGAAGCGCAGTGGGAGCGAATTCGATTTCCAGGTGTGCACAACTTCGGGATCTTGGATGTTGTGTTGAAGGGCTTGGTCGTCGAGAAAGTCGAACATGTACTTAATAGCGAGCGGAAGGGCACTTCCACGATGGGCCGTTGAGAAAATCGTTTCGAAGAGGTCGTCGACGAAATTCTGGAGGGTTCCTTTGGTCGCCAGCAATCGAGTCAAATAGATCTCGGACACCATCTTGTTACCTCGTTCATCTCTATCCGCATCGGCGTGTCTTACCAGATGCCAGTATTTGAACCCGCCCTCGAGGTCGCCTAGACCGTGAAGGGGCGGTGAGGTAGCACGAGACATCGGCGGCGACCGGTTGAACCCGGCGGTGAAGTTTAGAGTCTCATATTTGTGATATAACGTCTTCTCGGCCGGAGTCATCTTCTCAGATGTGATACTCAGGTTGTAGGTAGACGACTGTTTGGGCACTAGGATGAGACTCGCACCATCAGGCACCTTGTAATGAGCCAACGTGTTATAGCGGCGCCACTCTCCTTCGGTTTTCGTGGTAGCGTCTTCGTCCGAGAGAGTAATCCGCCCAGAGGTGCCCGTCCGCCACTCTAAGTCGAGTTCTTCTTTGTTGGGCCTCTGCGACGCAGGGGTGTTCTTGTAGATCGCGTCGAGCCCTTTGTCTTTCACCTAGAATCGAAGGACCGAGAGCTTTAGCAAATGCGATTGCACCGTTTCTCCGATGATTGTTCTGACAACTGAGACAAATGGGTATGCGGGCGACCGCCTGAACGGTCCTTCCGGAAAAGCGGACGAACTTCGTCGATCGGCTTTCAACACCTACCTGTGAAATCGTGTCGCAATCGAGCACACGAACTGAAATGTCCTGGCCGTCTGTCGAGTCCATCATGCCTGTCTGCATGTAGAACGACTGCGGCGCAATGGAGAAGTACGCTGTGATCGATTTGTAATCTACGGACTGACGAATGAGTTTTTCCTCGCTGAGCGAATAGCGAGCCTCGCTTGTGACCGCGTCCACGGGGCCTTTGTCCACTTGTTGTTTGATGGCGCGGAATAGCACAAACAACGGCTCGCCGGCGCATTCACGCAAGAACTTGTAAAGCAAAAACGTGAACCATGCCGACAGCATTTTCTCTGCGACCGATTCGGTTCGCCGCAGCAACAGTTTCGGATGCGATTTGCCGTCGATGCATTTCTCAATGAGTTCCGCCAGGAGGGTCTTTAGGATGTCTGTGCAGTATTCCATTTTTCCTTGGAGCGTGACCATGATTAAGGAAGCAACTTGAACTCGATCTCGCATTGAAAAGTACCTGGAACGAGGGATGTTATTTCGATTTCTACGGGCGCGGTCCTCGCTCTCGCTGTTCAATAAATCCACTCCGATCGGGATTTATGATTATTTGGAAGAAAAAAAAAAATCGTCGTCTAATTTTGTTTGAGGGCGCCCCAGAGACGGACTCACCTGTTGGACTCGAGGGTGCGGATGAACAAGAGCAGGAACGTTCTGTTCATGATGAGCTGTCCAAACATCCTGAGTCCTTTCTCCATATACTGTTTCTTTACTGGATCGACCTGCATTTCCTTAAGTACCGCATGATCTTCCATGTTGGGGAATAGTACTTTCATGGTGTACGTCCTGTAGTCGAGGTAGGGAATTCCGCCTGCTGTCAAGTCCGAAGTCAGGTCGGTCATTTCGGTCTGGAGTTCGGCGAATGCTTCTTTGCATTCAGAGGCCACCCGGAGCTCTAATACGTCCATTTGTTCCTGCATGGTTTTGAGCACTCGCGACGATTCGGTGCTCTTGCGTCGGTACGCGATGAGGATGCCGATGACGATGATGATGAGAATCACTCCGCCGCAAATCACTCCTATGACGATGGGTCGCGAGAGTTGATTTTCGTGGCCGTGTGGTGCATCGTAACTGAGCATTCCGATTTGGTAGCGGAGATTATCACCGACTTCGACGATCACTTGAGGTATGCGATTCCGGTCGATCTGACCAGACTCATCGAGGGCTGCGGGTTGTTCTGTCGGTGGCCGACATGTAAGCTGGGTGCGACTGAGCGACGTGACGTTGCAGAAGCCAGCGCCGATGCGAACGACGACGTCGGTCTCCTGCGAGGCGCGGTCGAGGTTTCCGCCGTTAATTGTCAGATAGTCGGACTTGTAGTATTTGATCCCGCCCTCCTCAGCGAACTGTGCATACGATGGGTCAGGGTACATTTGGAACTTGGGGAAGCCCTTGGTGGAGGAGAGATGGCGAACGCCTTTGACGTTATCCATTTTGAATCCGTATTCGAGCTCAATGAAATCTTCGTCCTCTGCGAAACTCAGCTGATCGGACGGTACGCTAGGCGTGCGACACTTCATCTCCGAGCTGCTCTCGGGCGTGCATTTCGAGTAGTACTCCACGCCGTCGAGCGCTACGTACATCATGGGCTCTTGGACTGAGTTGAGATGGGTCCCCCTGACAAGCACAGAGATACCCCCGCTGGGAATTCCTTTAGGGGCACTCCCTTTTACGTGGCCGGTGCTTCCTGGTGCGCCTCCGCTGTCGACTTGATGAACCTCGGGATCTCCGACGTAGAGAAATCCGTATTCTTCGAACGACTTCAATCCACGGTCGAGCTTGAGGCGTACTTTTCCTTCTTCGGCTTTCTGCGAGTCCGAAGTGATGCATTCGACCACGTTTGGCTTTCGAGAGATGATCTCACAAGGTCTGGAGCCCACGAATGCTTCTGCGTGACTTCCGGCATCCATGTGCAGACCCCAAATGCGGAGTTTCGTGCCTCCGCTCATGGGGCCCTTCGAGGGGTTAATGGAAGTTATCCGGGGGTTCTGAAACGCAAACCGGACGCCGATTAGTCAACGAGTAGAATCAAGACAGATATTTGAAGACGGATGTGACGAAGCAGGATATCGACGGGAACAAGAATAATTAGGTAGAAATTGACTTGGGATTAAATGCCTGTCGGATACTCACAACAAAGGAATAAGGATCTGGTGACCTGGCCATGTAATCGTTCGCCACTTTGACCACTACCGATCCACTGATGGTGTTTCCGGACGCCGTCTTGTTGCCCGCGGGGCCACGAAGTTCGCACACGATTCGCGTGGTTTTCACGTATAGTTCCGGATGTGCTTTGCACTCGATTTTCTCGCGCTCGCCGAGATCGATGAAGAGTCCGTTCTCGATATCCGCGAACACTCGACCGAGGTTGTAACCGTCGATCGTGATGTTTGTTCCTCCTTCTAGAGGTCCGCTCATGGGAGTGACTTTCGTAATCTGGGGATCAGGGCACGTCTGTGTCCTCTCGAGCCATTTGACAGTGTGCTTATGGCATTGGTCTTGGACCTCGCACTTGTTCGAATCTTGGCACCATCCGCAGCCGTATTTGTCGGGCAGTTCGAGACACATGCCACAGTTCTCGCTCATGGCGTTGCATCGATAGACGAGTACGTGCATATTGTCCGGATTGTCAAGGGGTTTCGAGCTGTCCCAGATGACAGCGAACGTCGCCGTGATGTTGGGCACCAGACTCGTGTACGAGAAATTCATTTGATCGCAGTAGATTGTATCGCCTAGCATTCGTGCATTGACCTGTTTCACTCGACCTTCGATGTTGAATTGACATATGAACTTTGTCTGAGCAATGAAAGGGGGGATGTTGTCGACGCGCACTTGGATTATCTTGTTGACTCCCATGGCCACAAGCTGTTCGGGGACGTTGTTGGTTGCATTGATTCGAGGACAGAAACCAGGTCCCGAGCGGATAGACGGTCCTACGCTGGCGACTCCTGTCACCAGGACGTCGTTCCGACAGTTCTCGCCCGTGTCGTGGGTGCAACGGTGGCCGCCCACGCACCAGTCACAGGGGAACGGGCTTGACACGCATTCGGTGCATCTGAAACACGTGGAAAATTCATGAGCGGGGCAATGTCGACTGAAAGCGTCAAATTAGAACGGCTGACAAGTCGCAGCAACTGACGGGGACGAGGCATAAATTAGCAGGCCGCTACGAACAAGGTCGCCGAGAAGAAAAAATATAGCTCATCCACCGACGACGGGAGAGAACGAGACGGTGGAATACTCACGAGGAGTAGGTGCTGCAGTCGTAGAACGTAAAGTTGGTGGCAACGAAATCGGGGTTATTCCTCATTCTGACGGAAAGTTTCGCGGTGAAATGATGCTCTCCGGACGCGATCGACGGCAACGAGTCCGTGTGCGGGGTGGCGCACTGGACTCCATTGGTCGTTTTCGTAGCGTTCGTCTCGAGGGTCTTTCCGTTGGTCGTGAAGGCGCAATAGAAGTTCCCTTCGAGGTTGGGTAGGTTGCCAATGTTCAGGGAAAGGATCCGCGCGGTTGTCCGCTGGATTCTTGGGGGATGTACTTGTGTGATTGTGGTACATTTACCACTCTTGTAACTCAGCCAGTACAAAGGGTCCTGGGCAGCCTGAGCACAGTCTGAACGAAGGCTGCATTTATTCTCTAAAGAGCACCATCCACAGTACGGGTCTTGGGCGCCCAGGCAGTCCACGCACGTCTTATACTGAGAACACTCCTGCACGTTCACCTTGGTAATCTGAAATCGAGAAAAAAAAAGATCTCTTAGCGATCGCCTTGTCGAATCGGCTTCGATCGGTCCCCAATCGGCTTCTTTTTATATCTGCTCGCTCGGGGAGTATTTCGAGCGATCTGAGCGAGAACACGGTGTGCTGCGAATCTCTGTGATCTACTCGAATGCTGTCAAACGATTTTTGACCCTTAAATTTGAAGCATTGAATTTTTATGAGCGTGCTCCTCCACCGCCTGGGTCTGTGAATGGGAGGCCGGCTAGGGGTTGGTGTTCATTGTTGAGTTTTTGTGGACTCCTTCAACAATGATCCTTATCGTCTTTAATAGAGCTCTTCCTTCGCTTCTGTCCAGCTCCCATTGTTCTCCAGTCCTTGTTATAATCGTTATGGTCTCCATCGACAAGAACTCTCAACAGCTCCGGTTTCTTGTACATCGAAGGGGGATGGGGAGGGGGGAGGGTCGACGTTCCTCGCATATGTGATAGATTGATAGAAGTGCTCCGCCGATGGACTAGAGTACAATGCTCCGGATGACGTTCCTTGGTGAGTTGTCCGTGGACTTGTTTTCTGCCGATCTGTCCCGATCGTTCCGTTTCTGTCCCGCTTTGGTCGCCCTCGTCCGAAAGTCCCCGATAAGGAGATTCATCGAAACTCCTACGGCAGTCTCATTCTTCGGACAGACCGACAGCGTCGGCGACGACTCAGCGTACGGGTGCTCTAAGTGGCCGTTGCTCGAACTCACGACGTCACCCCTCCAGAACTCGCTCGTTCCCGTTTGCAGGCTACTTCACGTTGTCTTCCTCGCTCAGAAACGGCGCCGCATTTGTTTCGACGTTGAGGGACGAAGCTCCTATTTAGCGGAGCGCCTGAACTCGGGGGCGAATGCTCAGTCGAACAAACGTGGAAACAATAGAACTGTGTGGGTAAGTGAGTGACAGTGTGTATCCGTTTTGTTCTGCCAATTTGACAAAAGGACAGTCCCGCCTCTCCACTGTACCGAGCTTTTTTCTTGCTGACAAGCGGACAGTAATTCTCTAGGCAGAGCTGGCCCGTCTGCCTAGTGACCGGTTGAGAGAACGAGTACCTTTGACCGCTCGGCGCATCTCTCCGAAGCTCTCGTCCCTCAGACTGTCATCCGTTTTCCGCACTGTTACGTGTTCTTCGCGGCGACGACGTTCCCAACGAGGCGCAGCTTATATGGCGCGGAAAAGTCTCTACCGTGCGTGCGCTTGGCGATATGTGTGTAGCGACTTCGTCACACAGAACATCGTTGTAGTCGTCGTCTTTATTTGCATCCAGTCGTATCTGCCTGCTTGTGCATGACCGATAGTCAGAGTGAAACCCGTACACGCACTGCCGGCGGGGGAGGGGGCTGGAGCAGCTGGGGGTGGGGCACCCAGCCGCAAGTCAACGCAGACCAAGCCGAACGCACCGAGCCTGCTTCCATACGCGATGGCACGGCACGAGCGTGCATCACTTCGTCCTTTTTACAACTTTCTGATTCTCTCTCACTTTTAGGCAAAAGTCACCTCCGTTCGCCGCGCGACAGCCACGACAGAGGAAAAAGACACCGCCGTCTTGTCTCTCCCCGTTGAAGTTCGCTCCGACGACATCGAGGGCGAGATAGGATTCTCCGCGCTCTGCGAGAACAACAGAAGATCTGCAACCCCCGTCCCACTCCATGGCTCAGATGGACGAGGGAAAAGTGGAGAGACTACGACGAGGGGAGATGCTTGCCTTTGAAACTTTGCTTGAGGAGAAAATAGATGCGCCGTTTCGCCTTTGAAGTTAAAGACTTCGCTGCTCCGGTCGCTTCTTTCTCTGAAGTTCGATAGTGACCGGCCTGCCGTCGAATATAGCACGAGGAGCGCCAGGCGGAAACACCAGCCAGGAAGGGAGAGACTATCGAGAGAGCAAACGCACTCGAGAGGAAGAATATAACTTGGCGTGTTGTGCCTACCGAAGCTTTTCGGTGCATAGAGCCGCTACCGGCTCATAGTTCCGCGCTCGTAGTCGGAGCTCCGGTCCCCAGACCGGGCCATCTCTATTTATTCGAGGGGAGACCTCGTTTCGTTTGACTGGGCCCGTTTGCATTCCGGGTGGAACGATGTAGTTCTGGTAGCTGACGTTCTGTCGCCTCGTATATCGCTCGAGCCCGTGAACTTGAGCCGAATAATCCACGCGACTCGACTTGAATAGTCGGGTGAGACTCGCGGAGTGGAGCCATAGCAACCGCGTGGATATTCGTAGAGATCTTTTTTCCTCTTAGGGAAGAATAATTTCCCCAAAATTCGTAGGACCGAAACGGAAATCAAAGAAATACGTGATTAACGATGTCATGAGAAAAAAAATACTCCGACCTCACGAATCATGGAATTCTTCCCTGAGGCTTCGGGGTAGACACGCTCTGCGCAGACCCCCAAGAGATTTCTCGTGTCACCGCGAAATTCCTCGGCTGGAGATCATTCAGTCCACTAGTCCAAACGATTGTATCGTACGCTCAGCCAGTCGGGTCTCGTTGTTGGTGCAGAGCAAACGGTTGTTACGCCATGGGAAGTTTTCTTCCTCTGAGAAGCAGCGAGCTCGGAGCGAGGCTCGAATGTCGTTCTTGATTAAATCCTCCATCTTTCCCCCTCTGGACACATGTTTAATTACAATGGCCTTCGGATGAACAGAGTCCCCCCGACAGTCGCGGGAAAGAAATCCAATCGCCTGGCTTGCACGACGGCTTGCTTCTATCCGAGAGCAGCACGCTATCGAAGCGTTCCCCCTCGTCTCTATATCTTCGCCCTGTCCTCAACGCCACCGCCCCCCTTCCCGCTGGGTTTCCCCTCGAAATATTGACTATCTGAAAACTGGTGGTGCTCGAACGGTCTTGCTTCAGAGCCGGCACTCCTGCCTCTCGGGTAGCCGACCGAGCGGTCCTGGCGATCCACCAGCAGCTTCATCATGGGTAATAGGAGGAGCCCGCCGCTGCTGCCTCGGAGAAGAAGTTTGCCTGTCTCTCGGCTGGAAATCAGCCCGCTCAGCGAACTTGGAAGCTCGAGAACCTCTAATCATGGCACAAGCTGGCAGCGGGCGATCTCATGCCCATCGGCTCATTGAATCGCAACTCCATCTTCGGAATGCAGGCATGCGCTCCCGATCGACAGCAACAAATGAACATTTGCGACATTGGAGACCATCGACGGAGTTTTCGGACCTTCTCCTTCGAAAAGCAGCAGCTTCCGGCGGAGCGGCGGAGACACACCCGCGAGAGGGAAAATGTAAAGTCCCGATATCGATCTGTTGGAAATTCGATCGTAATTGCTCCGCTGATCGGAATCGCCTCGATCTGCGGGAGATCGCATCGAATCGATGGAAATCAGCTCCTGGAAAACACTGGTCTTCGTTTCGAATGGGCACGAGATGGAGCTCCGGAGAGGATCCAACGAGAGCATTCGAAGTTCACTCGGAACACAGATGACGTCATTCGACGGTGTCGAGGAACTTTTCGTAGCGTCTTCAGAGGCGTGACACCATGTATATTTTTCGTCTACACTCGTCGATCGGAACACGAACATTTACAGTGGCGCCTCGTCGACGGCTGTCCGTCCGAATGGGATTGCGAGTCCCGAGGGAACCGGGTCTCGAGCGACCCACCGATAGAACGAGCGGGAGAGTGTGCTATGTAAGAGTGAGAATGTCTGCTCGAGTGCGTTCATCGATGCGCGTATGCATCGAGTATTCAGCCGGGACCCGGAGAATTAGAGAAAATGAGGGAACATCCGACCGAGACATCGAGGGGTGCACTAAGAACCAAGAGGCGGCGCGGCGGCAGGGAGGAACCAGCTTGCCTTAATATTAATAAGGAAAGTGTTAATTGCTCGGCCCGCCGACGCTATCCGAGCTCTCCCGTAATGCATGCGTTGTCGCCCCCCTCTGGGCGAGCGAGCGTCTCGCGGAGGGAGGAGAGGCCCGAACCAATTGGTTACATAACCCGCTACAGACTCCGACGCTCGAGGGATGCTCGACAGGTCTCTCGGATTCTCTTGTTCTGGAGGAGCCGTTCGTTCCCGCTCTCGTGTGCGATCGCAGCTACGAGTCGCAGAAAACCATGGTCTTCAGAATCAGAATTCGGTCTCGAGGGGTCCGAGAAAACGGTCCATGGGTTTCCAAATCGAGGTCTTTTTTTCTTCTCCATCGCCATCCGGGCTCCGACATCGGATCGCTGTACATAGTTCCGCCCAGTTCTTATAAATAGACCCAGGGACGGTGTGCGAGTGCTTGAAGACAGACGAGCTGCCTGGCCGCATGCGTTATTTCGCATACGGCCAGGGACCCGAGCATCCTGCACGCCTTGTGAGACACAGCTGGACCGAGTTATTTTCAATGCGGTCCATCAGAGCCACTCAAGAGCACGTGAGTATTTCAAGAGACGAATATCGCACGTCGCATTCACAACCTCGCTCAGAAGCCCGTAGAATCGGAACGAAGAGAGACCCACTGGACCAGCAGCTCAGGAATTCTATGATTGGTGGGATACGGTTCGCCGAAGACTGTCCACTTGGCAGACCTTCGCCGCCGGCCGAATCGGAAGGCAAGAAAGGAAGCAGCGGCAGGAGCAGCAGCAGGCAATGGAATGGAAAATCTCCGTTTGTTCCCCGTTCCTTTCTCGAACGAAAAGAAAGTTCGATTGCTCTTCATTATTCTTCATCCAAGTTCAATTAAGTTGCCATTAAGTTTTTGTTCGATCGACTCCTTCCTCGAACCGCTCGACTGTTCCTCCGAAGTGTTTCTTCACCCCATCCGCTAACGCAGCCGCCGCGTCGCTTGACCGAACCAATCGGCCGAGCTCCGAGAGTCTCGCTCAGTAGTCGGCGACTTCGGTGACGACCATCGACACTCGTATCGTTCGTTATTACGAACCTCGATGGCCTCACCTCGCTGCCTTCTTTCCCTCTCCGTCTTCGGAGGGACGGCATCAGTGTTTGAACTAGGGCTCGCTGTTGCGATCGCCGTGGTTTCA